ATATATATATATATATTTTTTTTATGTATATGTATATCTGTGTGTGTGTGTATGCCATAATCTGAGAAATCCTTTTGCTTCAAAGGTGCCGACGGGACCTGAGAGCCATGTCCCTCGTATTCAGAGTGACTTTTCACAGCCCCGATTTCATTGAGCAATCCGAAAGCCAGCGCCCAAACGGGGATGTTTGTAGCCACTCTACGACCCCCATTTACACCACAAATCCAGACACAGCTGCTCCCAGGACAGTTCACTCTCACGAATATCAACTCATACGGCGCAGGCCGGCAAGTTCTGGAGGGTCAGTGACAGTGCTGGTGAGGTTAGAAGTACTGGACTTGGCCGTTTATAGGGCTTGGGTGACTCCCAGTATTTTTTCAGGTTTTGGAGCGCTGTCAGTGAACAATCGAGACCCTAGTTCCCCGATTCCGAGGTCCGAAACCAGCAGCCCTTGCGTGTTTTCCCCAGCCCATGCGCAAGAGTCTTCAAGCGACCTTTAAAATTGGTTGAGGCATGGCGCTCTACGGGAAGCAGCGCTTCAGACACACGGTCAGCCCAACCGACTGGCGCCTGGAGGCGTCGCAGCCTCAGAGTATTTGGCTGGACCCAACATCCAACTTGGATGAGGGTTCCATAGGTTAAGCCGACGGCCAGTGGTGACAAGAAAAATATTTTTATACAACTGCAAACGACTACAGCCTTGGCTTCGCATGCAGTTTCGGGTGGCCGGGGTTACGGACCTTGGGTGTGTTTCGCCGCAGCTAAGCAGGAAGCTTCGATGCAAGATGACTGGTCAGGCAGCGCTGACAATCTAGAGTCACCCTCTTCGACTCCGAGAATCTCCAGACCAAAAAAACAGCCCCACCTCAGTGTTCTCGCATGACTCAGGTTCACCCTTCACGGTCCCGTGTCTGTCGTTGGTATCTTGGCTGCAGCTCCATCCTGAAAAGTATCGAGCTCGAAGCCATGCCTATCCAGATGCATTGTAGCTGGCAGCAGTAGCTTCAATGTTCACACCAGCCGTATATTCCACGGTGATGTGTGCTGGGCGTTGCTGGCAATCTATGTCGCACGCCCTTGTGATCGCGATTGCTGAAGCTACACAGCGCAAGCATCCATAAACTGCCGGAGCGCACGACACAATGGGTCGCTGCTCAAGGCTATGATGTCGGAGAGATCGCAGCCCAAGGATTGCATGGTCTTCTGAGTCGTTCTCCTATACGAAGGAACATTGCTACCATTCATGTACATTCAGCATGTCACACATCCAGCACGTCACATATCTCTGATAGAAAAATGATAAATATGTTAATGTATTGCTAAATACAGAGTTAACTAGTCAGGCCCCTTATGTACATCACCCTTCGTCCGCTGCCAGGGATGACAACGGCAAAGAAATTTCTTGGACTGCCCTGCCAAAGCTGCAGTGCTGCTCAGATGCACGAGGATGCACGCCTCGTCCCATTTCCTTGTTTAGGGGCTTATAGAGAACTTTGTAAGATAGGTCGTTTAGGGTTTCGGGGAGGTCGAGGCGTCGAGTTTAAAGGAGAAGAGTCTGCTTCCCCCCCTGCAAAAATACCGGGAAGCTCTAGACCGCCCTGCATACACACCGGACTGGACGCTAACCCTTTTGAGCCTAGATGCTCGGGCTGAGTCATGAGATCCCTGTTGCGCAAATGCACCCACGTCCGAGATCCGTATCGACCACCAGCCGGCGCGGGTGGAGCTCTGGTTGCAGTCTTGGGGGAGGGGGGGGGGGGGGGGGGGACTGCAGGAGTGCAGCCGTTTTTTCTTTTCATGGTTGTCCTCAAGCATTTCTAGGTTGTGCTACAATTGCTTACGCATGCACACATCTCGTGCTGCTTGGGCAGAAACACAGTCGCAATACACTTCGCCACATCCAGAACCTACAGTCTCTCCTGTTTGGGTCTTGCCATGAAGCTTGTGTTCACCGGGGTCCAGGACGCGAGGTTTCGGGCAGAACTCTCCCTTTGGATTTTGTTCCCGGAACCGTTGGTTCTGTAGGTGATCCAATGAAGCATGCTGCAAGAGGTCCAGGTTGCCCGAGTACGGGTTTCCATTTGCATGATGGCGGAGATTTGCCGTTTTGGCAGTAGCTCATCTAAACCACAGGCTGTCGATCAGCCAGTCACCAAGGCTTCTTTCTTTCTTGGGCTAGACTAGACAATCAACCAGAGTGGGAGTGAATCTTCTTGCCTTCTTCTTGAAGTTTAAGCTTGGGTGAACTGTGCTGTTAAATTCTCAAAACTTGAAACCACCAAATCCAAAGTCCAAAGCCAACAGAAACATAATCCACCCAAAACACCCTGTAAGGCTAAGCCCCGAGGATCCCAAAGCTTACCCCCCAAATCCTTGCGCGACCTAAAGGACTTGGAGATTACGAGGGGCCAGTACTTCCAGATGGATGGAGAGCCCTGGTATCTTTCCGCGGCCTGCCCGGGCCTTAGGGGAAGAACTTGTGGGCGGTCGGGCTCACGGTTTTTAGGGTCACATGGTTTGTGGGGTTAGGGGTATCGGATTTTTGAGGGTCAGGTGTAAGGTTTCCGGTTTTAAAGATTAGGGGTTCTTGAAACTCGAGGGGTTCAGCTGCTGGTCTGCGGCGCAGCTTGATTTTCGTGACTTGAAGGGTCTGCTCGATGCTCGGAGTTCTGCGTCGCTAGCCATGTTTAATACATGCCCCGTCACTGTCCAGATGCAGCAATGTCACGACATCCCTGGTTGTCTATGGTACTGTATACCGGAATACCGTGCCTTGTTCGAATAACTTCGGCTCAGATATGCAGCACCTTAACGTTTTAAAGCTTATGATGTGCATCCTGAGGTACTGCAACGATCGAGCCGAATACCCAGGCCGGCAATCTTTGCATACCCACCCTGGACTTCCGACATGTCATTCAACTAGTGCTCTTGGGGGGCAAGCCTTTCCTCGTGGCGACCAAGCATACAAAATGCCGCCCCGCTGTTTCACTTGGCAAGGTAAAAGCGGTTATACACCCTACTTCAAACGAGCCAGATGAGTAGTCGTTATCCTATTCTGGATGCCATGGACAGGTTATTGAATCCAGATTCACAGGATGAAGTTTGCCACTAAGGGATCCCCAAGCCCCCTTTCGAAGTCTTCCTCAAATGAAGACTCCGAGCATGAAAAAAAAGTTCATTTCAGTTTAAATCAGAAGGGATGCGCTTTCCGTTCAGCTTGCACGGCCAGTGCCAAGCAAGCCATACCAGGTAAAGATGCTGTGCCCGCCGTTGAACGGTCCGGGTGCCGGAGTGTGGGGCAGTCGCCAAGAGAGGACGCACACAGGGCTCACCTGGAAAGTTGTCGAGGTCGATGCTGAGGTCCTTTCTGGTCTCCGGGATGCTCCCGGTCGCAGGAGCTTCTGGACTGCGACACAGGCGACATCGCGCACGACAGAGCTCCATACTTTGAACTTAGTGATGTCGCCGCCTCTCGAGGTACTTGCTTGCAGTGTGTGCCCCAAGAACAAAAAATGGATAAACATGTGCTGCCAAGGTCGCACGCCTAAGTGAGCTGAGCATCCGAGCGACTACCGAGATTCTCAGAGCCCCTGTGACTGCACTGATTGTGCCCCGGATCTCACACTGAACTCTACAGTATTCTCGACACCCCGATTCAGCTTGAAATCCTGCCCGCTGAATTAATTCGCAATACATGCCTAGCACATGCTATGCTACTTGCGGCTCGTTGGTTTATGGCTTGAACAGCTGCTTCTGGTGGTGCTGCTGCTGCTGCCGCTGCCGTTTGCAATGTTATCCATGCCGTTATGGTGCCGCACTAGCTCGGGTTGCCATTCCCAGTTCGTCTCATGTTCCATGCTTACACAGTATTAACCAGTTTAGGCAGTTTAGGCATCATGTCTCTTAAATGCTCCTAGCTCTTAGGTGAAAGTCAGCACAATGACCTCACCTACCTGTTGTGACTACCTGAAAGTCTGCTTCGACGAAGGAGCGCGAGCAACGAAGAATACAGACGAATCTGCAATCCAAGTCGAGCTAAACGGATGAATTAAAAACTTTTTGAGTGACGGTTCGGATTGTTCTTATCGCTTAGTTACCCCCTCATTTTGACTGAGCCACGTGGCTGGGTCGTGCCTTTGTTGCCTGGTTTGTTTCGTTTAATTCATGCCTTTTCCTTTTGCCTTTTCTCGCTTACGTTTCTCTTCACTGAAAAAGGCAACGACAAAGCGTTAATCACGAACGTAACCAGGAAATAAAGCACCAGATAGCCGTTCACCTAACCAAAACAGAGGGCTTTGTGTTGAATCTTTGCCCTTTGTTTTAATGTAATGAAATTTAATCGAGAACAAAGGGCGAATCGAAAGAGAACCACAAAGGGGAACACCGCGACATAAACGCACGAACGACATCACGAACTTTGCTTTCTGCAAGACTGAGGTGAAGTCACGGCAAGTCAGCCGGTGCTTCGTGGTATCTGGCTTCGAGGATAGGCTTGTCATTGCCATTGTCGCTGCTGCTGCTGCAGCAATTTGTATCCTAGAGTGTCTCGCCATCTTTATTCGCAACATGTCTCGTCTTTGAGTCGAGGATAGCTAGAAAGAGGTACGGTGCAGAGCAGCTGTGGAGCTTATCCGATCGAAAGTCAAAAGCCAACATCGCAGAATCTTTCGGTCTGGGTGTCTGGAGTCAAGGACCTGAAGCCTTGACGCCCTGAACCCGGCCGCTTAAACCACCTTGTGCACCCGAAACCATCTGAACCAGCGAGGCCTCAATCCCGAAACTCCCAAACCCTGTATAGCTAGGCGTTTGCCCTGAGTCCATGACTTTCGAGCTCCCTATGTAGGTTGCTTTGGTTGGGGTTCACACCCCGCTGAGCGCTTTAATTGTTTTTCCAGGGCGCCAGAGATGTGCTGTTGTCGAAGCTTATGCGGCCTAGGCCTCCAGGGGACTAGCGTTTACAGGGTCTGGGCATTCCGGGGTTTAACCCTTTCCTGGGCTTTCGTGCTTGGGCTCGGCCGTCGCCGCAAATCCCGAAAGCGCTGCTGATACTGCTTAGGCTTCAGGCTTTTCTGCGGTGCTGAGGACCATGATCAAATGACACCCAGCCCGACTTCAACCCTTCATACATATATATATATGTATATATATATATACATATATATATATATACATATGTATATATATATATACATACATACATATACAGATAGATATAGCTATAGATATAGATACTTAGATTCCAATTTGCATGGGTCAGCTGTGAACAACAGTGCAGACGGCGCGTTTGCTTGCACAGTGCTCATTGGAGCCCGCCCAGCAATGGCTGTTCATGTCCGTAAAAACTTTGCGAAGGTTCGGGGGTTTGCACCCGAGAAGTGGGGCAGGAATGAAGTAATCTAGAAGCCTGCCTAATATAGGGGCCTAACTCAACACTTTTTTGGGGGTCCTTATTATGGTTATAGCTGTATATACCCCAAAGCCCTATTCTAATTGTTAAGGCCCCTATATGAGGGAACAGCTGCAAAGCTGGTGTCTGACGATTCTTTATTGTTTGCCTGGCAATCTCCCAGGGTGGCCTATATTGTTTGGGAGAGGCTCTCATGATAATAAAATATGATATTCATACTACTAGACTGCCTCAAAACAGTCTGTTATGCTAAGGTATGCTATGTTGTCGTATTAAGTCATGTCGTATCATTTGGCGGGCTGTTATATTCTATTCAACCAAAAGAGAACTGGCTTGAAGCAGCCAGGCCCTGCTTGCCAGCAGCAGGATGCTCGATGTCAGAATCCGTTTTGTCGACCTACCCGAGGCTCTGAAAAAACTATGTTTCTGTTGATAGTTGTTGTGGACCGTAACGTTTGAAGACCCAAACCTCCAAGACTCCCAATCAATCCGATTTTGCACAAAAACATAGTGCATGTGGGCATGCACGTGATCGCAAAGTGTACTCCTGCAGCAACTTTGAACTCTTGAGACTTGCACCTCTTATCTTCGGGTTGTCTCTACTGAACAACTGCCAGGAACCCATTCAGAAAGAAAGGCGCAGGAAGCATCGATATGTGTCGTTTCAAGGGTTTGGTTTTCTAGGGTTCACGCTTCTGGGTTAAAAGCTTTGGTCTTTGCTTTTCTAGGATCTTGGAACGATAGGATTTTGGGTTGCAAGGGGTGGGCTCTTGCTAATGTCTCCAAGACTACTCCGGAGTTTCACGAAGAGTGCGGCGAAGATCGCTGCCTCATCGGTTCAAGCCAAGCTGGTGGCAGCGTTTGCTGTTGCGAGATTCAGACGGGGATTTCCTGTCCTTATTGAGGGTTTAAACGGTGTTTGGAGGATGTAGATATAGCATAATTAACTCTGAAATTTGAGTGGAGCCAAAATTAAACCCGACTTCAGATATGGAGTCTTAACTCTGTGAATATGGAGCTCCTCTGTCGGTACAGCTTGCAAGCCCTCTCCGAAATTGCCCTCGAAGCTCTACAACTTGTGTTTGAATGAAAACCCCTGCGTGGACGACATGGAATTACGACACAGGGCATCGAGTCTGCTCACAAGCCCTGGACCGGTCCTAAGTCGCCGAACCCCGTCCACATTGTTGACCGAGCCTCTGCTCGCAACAGCGACCTGCTGAGTGAGTTTTGGGCACCCACGGCTGCAGCCCTCAAGACGGCATCCTGCCGCAGGCTGCTGAGGTGGCCCCACCAACTAGCCACTTACCTAGTGGACGAGTTCTGCAAGCTGGCGGATGCTTTCCTGCCCGTCCCCTACGTTATCATAGTGCCATAAAGTACAGTTCTAGTTGCCGTTTAACCCGCAAAAAATACTTTCAGGAAAGGGGCAAACCGTACCGATGCCACATGCCCAAAGCCCCAGAAGCTCAAGGACACAGTTGCCGACAGACTCTTCTCCCTGAGCGTTACATGATGCGCGTTCGTACGATAACGCTCGTGCCTAGTCAAGTTGTAAGATCACCGTCTCCATAGATGATAAAGATGATAAACAGTCCTACTCCTACTCCTACTCCTACTCCTCCTACTACTACTCCTCCTACTAACTACTACTACTACTACTACTACTACTACTACAACTTCTACTACTACTCCTACTCCTACACCTACACCTACACCTACTACTCCTACTCCTACTCCTACTCCTACTCCTACTCCTACTCCTACTCCTACTCCTACTCCTACTCCTCCTACTACTACTAACTACTACTACTACTACTACTACTACTACTACCACCTACTAACTACTAACTACGAACTACGAACTACGAACTACTTACTACTTACTACTTACTACTTACTACGTACTACGTACTACGTACTACGTACTACTTACTACTTACTACTTACTACTTACTACTTACTACTTACTGCTTACTACGTACTACGTACTACGTACTACGTACTACTTACTACTTACTACTTACTACTTACTACTTACTACTTACTACTTACTACCACCTACTACTACTACTACTACTACCACTACTACTACTACTACTACTACTACTACTATACTACTACACCCCTTCCTTGCGATTGATTGCTTCCCCATGTACCCTGCAGAACGGTTCGCAGACAAACCCTGGAGATCACCGTATGGCGCACACACGCACACAGTCAAAGAGAGATGGTTTCTGGGATGTATGCATGGATGGATGGGTGGGTGGATGGATGGATGGATGGATGGATGGATGGATGGATGGATCACTGGATGGATGGATCGATCGAGGGACACGGGTGGGAGTACATAATAACCCTGTAAGACATCAGCAATCCATCCCTTACTACAAGGAGTTCCTGCAAAAAGTTGTTCGAGCGTACCCTTGTCGTCCGTATAAAAGTAGTCTAGCTGTTTTTTGTACATGTGACTTACTACACTATGATATGCCCCGAGCCCTTGTTGCAATTATTCAGGCTCTGTTCTTGATCTAGAATCTAGAAGCCAGAAGTTATCAGTCCTTGAGCAAATTAGCTGCGCTCGGCCATGGCCCTCCAACAAGCTTGCTCAAGGGCAAAGGTTGAAGATTTCTTGCTTAGGGTTCAGAAGGTTCTTCGGCCGAGGTTTGTTGGCTGCAGTTAGTGCTCACAGGCCTGCAATGTTGAGCCCTAAATGATTCTGGTCCAGTGGTTTGTTTGGGTTGTTTTTGGGTTTGTAGTTTCAGTCTTCGAAGCCAGTGCCGATGGAATTCTGATAAGGTGACTTCGCTAACCCGGAGGCGGAGACATGCATCTGGACCGCAAATGATGCTTTACGGTTTATCGAGTCGCAATGTTGTGGGCTAACTGTGAAGTGGTGGAGAGTGTGCGCGGGATGTGGAGGATGTATGTGTTGGTCTTGCACGTTCGCCGCAGCCGGTAATGAAGAGGTGGTGAGACACGGGTAGTGCTGCGTCAATGTCGTGCGCAACTGCTTCCGAATCTAGTCAGTCATGCGCAAGAAGCAACTTAAGCCTAAAT